GCAAAAACAAAGTGCAATAGGAATGAAAATACAGAAGGGAGAGAACACACAAAATAGGGAGATCATTCCCCAGAGCCAGGGAATTTAGTTAAAGCACAGGTATGGGGGGGAGGGCCCAGGAAAAAGTATGAAAATGACATAGTTTGAGAATCAAGTTTAAAACCCAAACTGTTGTAAAAAGGGCCCCGTCAGAGGGAAAAACAACCCCAAAAAAACCCGGGGGATCAGATTAAGGGGCAGAAGGGGGAGAACTCCCCAAAAAATGATCAGGGGGGTATGTGAGGAGCCGAACAGGGGATTTTAAAGGGAAATTTTTAAAAGTAAAAGACAGGAAGGGCTGTGGGAAGACAAAACAAGAAGGGAACATCAAGAGGGGAAAAAACCAACAAGTGTTGGAAGACATAAAAAGAACAAAACCCAGGGGGAGGGGAAGAAGCCAATTAAGTGACCTTGACACCTCAAAGGCATGGGAAACCCACAACATCTCCCCTGGGTCCTTAGAAAAAGGAGCAGAGACGTGGGGGCCTCTAACCACAATCTTCAAAAACATTTCCCCTTTAAACTGGGCAAATACCTGAAATGGAAGACAGCAATGTGTCCCCATTTTTTAAGAAAGGAAACAGAAACAGGCACAAAACAAAAGACCTGTGTCCTCTGACATGTTTTTGTGGAAAGTCATGGGGAAAATTTCAGGAGGAGAGTGGTCGAAAAACCTGGAAAAGGGAAAAAGATTAAAAATGAAAACCAGCATGGGTTTTTATGGGAAAGGGAAATCTTGATCAAAAAACCCCCTGGAGTTTTTTGACAAGGGAACAGAAGTAAGACCCGAGAGAGAGGGGTGGTAGATTTCGTTTTTCCAAAACCGCAAAGGGAAAGGGCCTTTTACACAGTTCCCCACAAGAGATTAAAAAATCCAGAACTGGGGGGATCAGGCGCATGTAAAAAGGGAGGGCAAATTTCAATTGAAAAAGGGGAAAACCTGACAGGGAAAGGGGAGCAAACGGTCATGGTAAAGTGAAAAGGTAAACACATGGGCGCCCCGTTAAGAGGGGGTCCCACAGGGGTTTATTCTAGGGCCCCCGCTATTTTTGATATATGTAACGACTGATTTGGGAAAGGGAAAAAACCCCTGAAAATGTCCCCCGGGTTTTGGGAGATGACGTGAAGTTTTATGGGGAAGAAATTTAAAACGGACGAGGATAGGGCAGGCCCGCAAAGAAAACCCGGACAGGGTGGAAAAAGTGTTCCATTAACTGGCCTTCTCGAATCATTCCAGCCCAAAACAAAGTCATGAAGATTGGGGAGGGGCAAAGAAGACCGGGAGACAGAGTATAGGCTAGGGAACAAAGACTACAGACCTCAAATCAAAGGGGGGGAAAAAACCTTGGGGGGACCATAACACCGACAAACACCGGAGGCAACACAACAACCAAATAAAAAACCGCAGCATAAAGTGCGCCTGGCAAACCCGAAATAGCGTTTTCCCATATTAAAAAAGGAAACGTTCAAAAACACTGTTTCACTGTGTAAAGTTTTGGCCCATACTGGGGTATGGGGAGCACCAGTCCCGGGAAACCCCCAAACCCGGCAAGCACGTCAAGAATTAGAGAAAGTACAAAGGTTTGCAACAAGGCTAATCCCCAAAACTCAAGGGGGAATTTTGTCCAGGAAATGTTTAAAAAAAAAATCGGACTGACGACAAATGGGGGACAGAAGGGGCCGGGGAGACATATAACGACATACAAAATACGCGGGGAATAGACAAGGTGGGCAGAGATAGGATGTTTTTAAAGGGGGCAACCCGGGCAAGGGGTCACAACTGGAAACTGAAACTCCGAAAGAGTCACAGGGGCTTTTTGGAAAGGGTTTTTTTTCAGTCCCTAGAGTTGTAGGAAATGGAATAGCCTAGCAAGTGAAATATTTGGGGGCAGGGAAACCCTACATATTTTTAAGAAGGGTAGAAAAGCTCAGGAAGCAGAGAGAGAAAAGAGGGGCCCATAGGGGATCAGTGAAAAGGGGGGGCCCCCGGAAACTGAGTCCCCGACCCCCGGGAACCCCAATTAGGGTTTAGTACAATTAGGTGAGTACACACACACACACACACACCCCACACATACTCACACTACACACAAAACACACACACACACACATACACACCACAAAACAAAAACACACACACACAATGGGGGGCCCACAAACCTCAGGGAAAAGCATTCCCACATCTTAATAAGGGAAACATTCAGACCCCTGTACCCCGTGACGGTTTGGGCCCCAAAAAGGGGTATGCGGGCCCCCTTTGGAAACCCACCCCCTAGCCAAGCAAGGGGAAAAACTAAAAAAAAGTGCAAAGGGTTTTCAACAAAACTAGTCCCAGACTAAGAGGTAAAGTCCCTAACGAGGAGATTTAAGGGAAATCAACCTGACGACCGGGGGGACAGGAAGATAGGGGGGGCAAGAAAAACGACTTTCAAAAAACTGAGGGGGAATTGACAAGGTGGACCAAAAAACAGGATGGTTTTCCCGAGATTGGCACAGGGAAAAAAGGGGGCACAGTTTTTAAAAACTGAAGACACAAAATGAAACACAGGGATGTTAGGAAGTTTTTTCTTTCCCCCAGAGTATCATAAGTGGGAATAGTTTTTTGGGGGCGATTTTTTGGAAAGGGAGGATCCAAACCTACTTTTAAAACAAGGGAAGGGTAAAGCTCACGGCCCCAGGGGAGGAACCCAATAGCGATCAATGAAGAGGGCGGGGGGGGCCCGGAGCTCGGACTCGAAACCCCCCAACCTCAACTGGTAGTACAAAACCCACACACACATACTACACCCTATACACCCCAAAACCCCACACACACAAAAAACACACACACACACACACACCAACACACACCACACACACAAAACACACACACACACACACAAACACGGATCAAAGAAAAACGTGAGAGGCGTTATGAACCCCGAGGGAAGAGAGAGGTTTCCGTGACTTAAAAACCGTTAAAGTGGAAAAGGGCAAAAAGGAACGGGCCCATCCCTGGCCCACCCCACCAAAGGGCATTTTCGTTTTGTTTTTAATGTCGGTTTCCCTCGGGGGGGTAGCCGACTGGGTGATGCTCGCTAAAAGCTGTTGATCCAAGGGGTTGGAACTGCCTTCCATTTCTCTGGTTTACTTTTGATTATGTTTTACATGCGATGTTTGACAATTAGGAAAATTTTGAGCCGTCCCATGAATTTTAAAATAATAATAGTAAAATAAACCCGTAGAATTTGCAATTAAAAAATAATTAAAGATAAAAATAAGGGAAAAAAAATAATTAATAAAAAATAATAATAATAATAAAATAATAAAAAATAATAAAAATTTAAGAAAAATAAAATGAAAATGAAATAATAATAATAATAAAAAATAAAAATAATAATAATTTTATTTTTAAATTTTTATTAATTTTTATTATTTTTTAAATTTTTATTGTTTTTTTTTTTTTACCTGCTCATCCCCCTTTCTTTGTTTGCGCTCCCTCTCTCTCTCTCTCTCTTTTCCTCCTCTCCTCCTTTACTCTTCCCCCCCCTTTTCTCCCCTCTCTCTCCTTCTCTCTCCCCTCCTCTACCCCTAAACTCGCTCCTCTTCCCCTCCCTCTCTCCTCTCTCTCTTTCCCCTCCCCTCTTTCCCTTTTTCGTCTCTATGCGTTCTTCACAGAAATCCACTTTACTCAAATATTCACAGGTTACGCTCATTACCGCTAATCTTCACCAGTCTATGATAATCCGCTAGTATCCAGTTATCTCCAATCGTTTCTGAAAGGTCCACTAATCACAGGTGATCGTCATTCACTTTTAACATTCCCCAGTAATCTCAAGCATTTACCAGAATCCCTGTCTGTATCAGGTAATTTCCACTAATCCCTTGGATCAATATTACCTGCTACACTTTGTAATCTCCACTAATCTGGAAAACAGCAATTAATCCCAAATAATTAATCTCTCTCTGGGAAGAGATAAATATTTCCCAAATAATATCCAAGGACTCAATGATAATCAGGAAACACCATAAACATTACAACGGGTCCCAAAAATTTTAGGTTCGCCACTGTGTGTAATTTATATAGTACCAGGAATATCTTCCCCCCAAAAATATCCTGGATAACCAGTGATCTCCCTAGAACTCAGTAATATCCACTATTAATGTGAATGATATTCTACAAAATATTATACTCATAGGTAGAATAAATGGTAATTAGGTAGCTGGAATAATTTTCCTATTACTTCTGCTACTTCTTCTACTACTAGTACTACTAATACTACTAATACTACAACTGCTGCTGCTACTACTACTACTACTACTACTACTACTACTACTGCTGCTGCTGCTGCTGCTGCTGCTGCTGCTGCTAATACTACTTCTATTACTGCTGCTGCTGCTACTACTACTATTACTAGTACTACTACTTCTGCCTCTAGTACTACTACTACTACTGTTACACAGCTACTACCCTCTTCCTCTTCCTCACCGATCCGTCTTCTGGTAAGGACGTTTTCTCTGTCGCTTGTGACTTGACAATGGTGCAAGAGAAACCAAAACGTTATCTTAGGTTTCTTTTCTAAGTGTGGGTTATCCTTGAGAACTGCGGTCTGTTCTTAACCTTTAATTGTCTAAAACGAACAGGAACGCCGTCTAAGCCTCATTTAAATTTTGAATGTTAGTTGTAAACTGTTGAATCCATGACCTTGTGGAAATGAAGACAGTTATAGTTCTTTTAATATATTTTATTAAAAAAGTTTTGCTTCCTGGGGGTTTTATCAATCCAGAGATCGAGAAAAGCTTCCAGAGGAGAAACGTCTCATTTGATGTCCGAAATGTTGCATGTCTGTATTTATTCCCACAGTTTTGAACTTATGCTACTGTATTGTGACTTTTATTCTTTCTGTACCGCATTAATCTCCAGTAGTGAATACTAATCAAAGGCCTGGAATCCGCAGTAATCCGGTGTAATCCTTCCTCAGATCAGCAAAGAATGGATCCTGGGGCCTGAACTATGTGATATGTGGACGTCGAGTGACGTCCTATGCTGCACCGCATCTATTCTTCATTTGGTCGCTATTGCCCTGGATAGGTAAGTTATTGCCCAGCATATGTCCGCTGTATTTTCCTAACCACTTGTTCGATTTTGCCCTGGACGGATAAGCTTCACCCTTGTTTACCCTGGCCTTTTGACTCACTCTTTAGTCAAAAAATGTTCTCTCCCATATGTGTCGTGAATCTGAATTTATATCTGCACGTCGTGTCAAATAAACCGATTTGCTCTGTTAGGCCGAACTACTCTGAAAATTTAACTTTCCCAAAATTATTCTTTAATGGATTAAAAGATATATATTTTTTATTGAATATTTCATAAAAAATTATTTTGGCACTAAAACTAACTTAAAAATCTCACATAACCTAACCAAACCTAATAAAGTTTTTTTTTTACCCAGAATCCACCAGGTATATCATAAAGGAGTTTAAATTTATTTAATATTACTTAAATCAATGCAATTTATTATTTTTGCTATATTCAGGTTCATTTTTTGAGATGCATAAACAAACTTTTTATCAAAAGTTTTTTTTTTTACTGTAATAAGATTTTTAAATGCAACTTTGAAATTAAAAGTCTTAAGAAGAGAAGGAATATCAACTAAGTTTTCATGGTAAGGGAGAACCAACATATTTATAGTTGAATAAGGTTGGTTGTCCCTTTTTGAATTGTAAAAATTATTTCTGGCAATTTTAAATGATTTATCAATTAAGTTTTTTTGATATTTTAGATCATTAGCTATTTCATATTTTTTTTTTTTTTTGAGAGAGAGAGTTCTTCATGTATGAATTTTGGTCTACAAATACGCAAAGCTCTCAAAAACATTGTTGAGAATACTGACAGTTTAACTCTTTCTTGATATGAAAAATAGTAGTGAACATAGGAACAGTTATTTATTGATTTTCTGTAAACTTAGTTGATATGGCTTGTGAATACCAAAATGGTATATAATACCGACAAGTTGATAAATAAGACACAGCAGTTTGGTATCTTTATTCCGAAACGTTTCGCGTACACAGTAGGCTTCTTTAGTCGAATACAGAAGAGTTTAGCAGAGAAGATATGTAAAGACGATGTAATCAGTCCATCACCCTTAAAGACGTAATTTTGAGGTGGTCAGTCCCTCAGCTTGGAGAACGAGTTTGGTCCATAGTCTGGAACAGTGTGAAGTTCAAGCAGCAGTACGGAGATTTATATACTGTCGGAAGGTGAGATGTAGTTCACTAGTATGACTCACGAAATCGTGATGACACAATTAAAAACAAACCATACCACGGGCGGGGATAGAACCCGCGATCAGAGAGTCTCAAAACTCCAGTGGCTAACGCGACGGTCTGGAGTTTTGAGACACTCTGATCGCGGGTTCTATCTCCGCCCGTGTTATGGTTAGTTCCCTAGTAGTTCACTAGTTTTTCAAGAGAGAAAAGACGGAATTGAGAGGGACGTGCTTCTCAATGATGACCTTCTACTAGTGAAATGCATCTCACCTTTCGACAATATATAAATCCTTGTACTGCTGCTTTAACTAAGATTAATTAAGGTTAAAACAACATAAATATAGCATTAGAAGTGGACAAGATTCTGATGTTCTGTTTATTCAAGTGAGAGATTTTAACCATCCAATTGATTTTGAAAAGTCTGAGAAAGTTGTAGGAAGCAAGTCCATAATCGATAAGAATGTACTAGAATCATGTTTCATAAAAAGTAATTTTTTAAAAAAAAATTTGAATATTTCTTTGTGGTTTATATAAATTGGATCATTTATAATTAATAAAATTTTGGCGAGAAATTTCATAATGACATTAGACACATTTTTTGGTTAAATGTAAACTGTGCTTCAACGATCACCTGACACCTACCTACAATCATCATAAAAAAGTCCAGGTGTTGTCGTGGGGTGGGCAGAATTTGTCACCAAAGAATTCTTCAACACTTGTTCAACCTTTGGACGAAGACCTACTTCGTCTAGTGGAGGTACCACTATGAACCCGCTCCATCTGCTTCAAAACTCACCTCACTACAGTATTATAAGCCACGTCTACGGGCCCTATGCTGTACATATCTCAAGATTGATGGACCTGACAACTGACATCGACTCCAGGTTGAGGGACAAGTGATTACCTCATTCTCCCTCCTCTCCTTACACACAACCTCCTCTTCGTAATTGGACCTGATGAAGCCACTGTGTGGCGAAACGTTTTTCCTGAAATAAAGATCCCCATATGCCTGCATAAGTGTCTCACACTCTTCAAAGTTTACCGGATTGATCACAACGAGATCGTGTGTATCAGCAAAATGTAATGTTCATCTGTATTATATCTTCATGTCTCACGTTTCTTGTAACGGAAGAGACAGTCTTAAGGAGGGCTAACACAAACTTTGCAGTCTGCGTCTTTTATTCTGAATTCTCAGTAAAAAGTCCCTCGAGTGTGCGAGCGTGGTGTGGGGTGTATTCATCTAGTTGTGGTTTTGCAAGGGTCGAGTTACAGATCCTGGCCTCACTCTCCTCTTCACTGGCCGCCTACTAGTCACCCTTCCTTCTCTCCATGAGCTTTATCATACCTCTTCTTGGAAATAAATGGTAGAAAATACCGACACAATGGAAAAATTAACACATAAGCAGTATAATGTGATTCTTTATTGACAACGTTCCGCCCACACAGATCCAACCTACCCAGCATTCTCCACCTGGAGTCAGGTGGAGAATGCTGTGTAGGTAAGATCTGACAAGGACCTGCACGGGACTGGCGGGTGCGTATGTTGCTCATTCTTCATCGTTATCCCACATAACTACATACGCACCTGCCAGTCCTGTGCACGCCCTTGTCAGATTCAACCAGCCCAGCATTCTCCACCTGACTCCATCCTATAAATACTCACGTACCTTTCACCCAGGTAGATCTGTCTGTTGAAGATTGAGACACTTATGCAACATATGGGAATCTTTATTGAGAAAACGTTTCGCCCCACAGTGGCTTCATCAGTCCAATACAAATCAGAAGGGTGTAAGAAGAGGAGGAGTTTGAGGTAATCAGTCCCTCAGCCTGGAGTCGATGTGTTCAGTCCATCAATCTTTGACTCCAGGTTGAGGGACTGATTACCTCAAACTCCTCCTCTCCTTACACCCTTCTGATTTGTATTGGACTGATGAAACCACTGTGTGGCGAAACGTTTCCTCATTAAAGATTCCCATATGTTACGTGAGTGTCTCAATCTTCAAACTTGTCCGTTTTTTAAACCATTTATCAGATCTGTTTGTGACTTAATAAAGCTCATTGTGTGGGCGAAACGTTGTCAGTAAAGGTTCACATTATACTGCATATGTATTTATTTTTCCATACCTCTTCTTAAAGCTGTGCATTGCTTCTTCCTCCGCTATATCACTTCATAAGAACATAAGAATGGAGGAACACTGCAGAAGGCCTACTGGCCCATACACTTCCTGACAACTCTGTGTGTGTGTGTGTGTGTGTGTGTGTGTGTGTGTGTGTGTGTGTGTGTGTGTGTGTGTGTGTGTGTGTGTGTTTATCCTCAGAGATTAGTTTCTCGTATATTTGATAAAGTGTCCTGCGGCTGCAACTCGCACTACCTCTTCTTGGATCCCATTCTAGAAGTCATCTACTTTATTAGTTAATATTTACTTTATTGTAAGTAGCATTAAAGTCTGATAAACATTTGATGATGATCAGTTAGAGATGTTAATATAGAGACCGATCTCATTTTTTTCGTGTTTGTTTCTGAATGTGGGTTTTCTCCCGCACCTCCTCCTAATTTACTAACTACGACTTCTCTGCATTATCTTCGCACCACACATTGCCCTCAGACACGAAGTCTCCACTGCCTCCAGCCTTCTCCTTGTTGCAACATTCACCACCCATGCTTCGCATCCATATAAGAGCGTTGGTATATCTATACTCTCATACTCTTTGCTTCCCTGGAAAAAGTTCTTTGTCTCCACAGGTTCCTAAGTGCACCGCTCAACATTTTCCCTTCATCAGTTCTATGATTCACCTCATCTTTCATAGACCCATCTTCTGACACGTCCACTCCTAAATATCTGAATACATTAATCTCCTAACATTAAATCAGGAGATTAATGTATCTGTATATTTCGACGTAGAGGATCCCAGAAGGGGGTCGAAATATATAGAGTAATTAATCTTTTTATGAACCAAAAGTCTTATTTCTAATAACCAATCCAAGGGTTTGGTAAAACAAGGACAAAATCCACCTGTCTCTGCTGAATAAAGACATCTCGTTCAAATACATTTACAATGTGCAATGAAAATTAGTCACTTTACAGAACATAATTAAAGTAATACCTGATTGCACATCTATTAACATATTTGCCAAATGCAAGCTAATCAACTCAGATAAGTACCAAGGTATGTAATTCATTTGTGCACGACCCCAAATTAACAAAGAGCATTTATAAATACATACCATGGAGCCAAAGACCAGATACACGCAATACAGTGTATAAACACAATAAGACAGGACAAAATTCATTCACTACTAACATAGGCTAAATCAACAAAGCTGAGTGAATGCTTTATCTACTCAATATTAAGTATCCCGTTGCAAATCTCAGAATGTTTTAAGGCAGAAACTAACAACAACAACAACAACAAAAAAACATAAACTCAGCGAGATAATTCCATCCTAAAAGCTGATTTTCATGTCTTTACCAAATGAAGCTAGGTAGTTTATAGATTCATCCATTTTGACTTATTTTCTTACTCCCTGACATTAATAAGCTTATTTTCTAACTAACATTCGGAACAAAATTTTTTGTATAACAAATAGTGATTTGACGTCTATAGACCACACAGGAAAAGGTAAAAAGCAAGAATGGGTGAACACAAAAGATCGGAGAAATATTTTCAAACTAAGTTAGCTCATTTTCTGTATATCCAAAGCAAAAGCAGGAAGGATACTATGTAGGAAGGTGTCATATTGGCAAGGGATCATACCAGCATCAGGCTGGGTAGGCAGGAAACTAGAGCTGCAGAGATTAGGGAATCGGGGCAGGTAGAGGGAGCCTGAATGTTGGGGAAGTCGAGTTCCCCTTTACAAGAGGAGGAGTACGAGTGCAGACAGGGAGTCCGAGCGAGAAATCTTAACACGAAAACTTTCAAGGACTGTCAGAGGGCAGCAAGATAAGATAAGGGCAAAGATGTTGGCTGGTCAGACATCCCTTAGCTGATAACGGTAGTCTGCTGACAGGGAAAACAGTGGTGGTGGTGGATAGGGGTGGTGGTGGATAGGGGTGGTGGTGGATAGGGGTGGTGGTGGTGGTGTGGGTGGTAGCGGTGGTAATGGTAGTGGTGGTGTTGCACATGATCAAGATGATGGGTTTAGTAGAGAAGAGGGGGTTGGGGAGGTGGTGTCTCTTTTGCTGTTGTTTCTGGTGGTGGTGGTGGTGGTGCTGCTGCTGCTGTGGCAACAGATAGTAGTCACTATAGTGATTACCAGCAGCAGTTGCTGCCTTCATAGTGTATGTTATTACTTATTTGCAGTTACTTATTTGCAGTTACAGAAGCAGACTTATTTTCACGGTGTTTTGTCTTCTGAAATTTATCGTCATCAATTTTTTTAACATTTCCTATCCTTGCATCACCTACTTTTTTTCTCTTTTCAACAATTCCAGTGATCTCCTACGCTGTCTGAAAATAAAAAATATTTTTTTTTTGTTCTTGTCCGACCTTATATGTGGTTATCGTGTCTGCTCTTTTTCTCCTGTCATCCAGCCTTTCATTTTAATTCACATTTTCATCTCTAGGCGTGGGCCCCACACACCAATGCACATTCCAATTTTGGCCTAAAATCCCTTGCAAAGGGATTTTTTTAAGCATTTCTCCATCCAGATATTTGAAAGCAATTTCATAATTTGCTGGTGAAACATATGTATCTCACACAAATCTATTTACAAGATCTCCCCGTTATTCATATTTGTGTGTCCGTGCACCTGTGTCCGTAGCTTGTGTTCGCGCGTGTGAGTGTGTGTGTTTTGCAGATGCCCCCTAGAGGAACGAGATTCCAATTTGCACAAACAACACTCCCCCCTTCCATTCCTTCCTTCCCCCAGTCCTGACCACTCGTTGCTGTGACGGAGTTCATTCACCGCTCCACTGACCTGCTATTTTCGTCTCTATGCAATTGCTGAAAAAAAACAGCTGGGATTCGGAGGCTGGATTAAAAATAAAGCGAAAAGGGATCAAAGACACAGCCATGATTTTTTTCCCTTTCGAGTACGTTAGCAAAGAAATCACTGTTGTACAGCATATAAAGGTGAATTCAACACAGTTTCAGGAGTAGGTATATTATCACGTCGTGTAAGAAGCCGGGAGATATAGGGAAAGTTATCCTGAGTTACAGCATCTCATGAGCAGAGGAACATGAAAGCACTTTAATGAATATGACAGCTGTTTAATGAAGGTGAAAGCAATTTAATTATCATGAAAAATAGTGGGAAGAACATAAAAGCATGTAAATGAACATAATAGCCTCCACAGCACAAAGTACGTAAAATACAATGCTTCGTTTAGCGTGGAAATATTACAAAGGCTCGGGTATAAAATCACGAAATTCAGAGCATTTTACACAACGCTTGACTCTGGACTGAGCCTTATCAAAATTTTCGGCATCTCGCCCCCGTCAGCACTACTCAGATCTGTTTTTTTTTTTTTTTTCACTTTTTCGAC